TTGAATGGAAACGATCGTTCTCGAAGAAGCTTCGGTGGGAGTTGCGCTCGAGCCTGTGTTCAAATTACTCGCGTTCGTCGTTATAGTCGTCGGTTTCATTGTATTCGTTCTCGTGCTCCATTCGCCTTCTAATTCCGTTCTGGACTCTACGATCGACGACGACGACGACGACGACGACGATGACGGTTCGATGATATTCACGAGAATATTACGACTCGTCGACGTGGGAACCACGGACGACGAAGATGACAATGCAGGGACGGTTGCAAAAGGAAATTTCGAAGCATTTTTGCTACCGTTCTTAATCTCGTTACCAGTGCTACCTGTAGTGGTAGCAATGAAATTGCCACCGCTACTAGTACTATTGGACGCAACTGCCAAACTGGCAGGTTCGTTCTCGTTGAAATACAACAACGACGGTGTCGTTTGCTTCGACTTGCCGTCACTCCGAGAATGATTCAGCGATTGCGACGGCAATGCTAGGCTTCCGACTGTCAGCGCGAACAACCATATCGCTCCTATAGTAATCAGCTTCATCTCTTTCCAAGATCTCGAATCGATAAGAAGAAACAGGGGGAGCGTTCTTCGTCAGATCGATTTCCTCCAAATGGCTTCCTTCTCTCACCTAAAATTCGTTACTAAAATTGATTATTATCGAATAAATAATATTATCAAATAATTGTTAAATAGCATGGTATAACCACCGCTGGTTATTATACGCCGGTGTTATATACCGAAACTCGAATTCGAAGCGTACTCTTTAGAAACGAAGAACGATCATCGTTCATATTTCTTTATAAGCATTCTCTGTATAGACACTTTCGATTATTTAATAATCGCATATTCCCCTTTAAGATTACGTTTGCATCGTTTCGCTTTCGTGTCTCCGACTGCGTTTCGTCTGCCGTGGTGCGGCAAAGGAGAAGCAGATCGGAGGTAGATGCGACAGGAGATCGCATGAAATCTTGTCCCGTATATCCTCGTTTCTCACGCTTCTTTCATAGCTTTCACGCTCTAGACAGAGAATACCAATACCGTCTTTTCTTCTTCTCGAGAGTGGGAAGGAACTGGTAGCCCGTGTGTACGGGGGAAGAGTTGCGAAAGGAGGGAAGAAAGTGATAAGCAAAAGAACCGGGAGGGAGGGAGGGAACACAGAGGGAGAGTTGAAGCTCCCTTAACGGTATCGGTGCTTTTTCCAGCTCGCGCTCCACATCGGCCCCTTTACTCTTTTTACTTTTTCCCAAAAAATCGACAAATCGTGTGAGGTTAGTCAAGTGAAATTGATGGTTGTAAGGAAGAAAGACGTGGGTGAAAACGGTAGGATGGAATTATTGGTCTAATCGCAACTCGTTTTCACGAGGACGCCTACGGGATGCCGCGGCAATAATTATAGCGCGATATTATTCACCACGCGGATATGGTGAAATTAGGTTAACCTGCTGGTACGTTTCTCGCGAGCCGTTATCTTTCTTTGCATGTTCAAGGCCGCGGTGGTATGCAGCAACCGGTAAGATCGACTGAACCAGCTAACGTATACAAGTGTATACGACACTCTGCGTACGTTGTTCACCCGCTCGCGATCTTCTTTATTAAAACGCGTTCGACCATTAATTATACCGCTTACTTCCTTTGCCTTACGAAGCTGT